GTCTGCGGACCCCACCAGGGCCCCCACAGTCTGCTCCTCCACCAGGGCCCCTCCCCCCACCCCCGTCTGTCCGAGAAACCGAAGCCACCAGTCAAATGCGGTGCAGGAAGTATGCGAAGAAGGAAAACCCTGGGGTGCGGGGCTGAAGGAGGCCTCCAGGTGTGGGTGCGGGAGGTGGGGCGGGAGATGCTGGGGGCGCTGAAAGAATTCGGGGTCTGCGCCTCCCTCGCCTGGTCTGGGGACAGTCCTATCCCTCCCTTTACAACTGAGATGTTAGCAGAATTGAAACAACAGCAGACCTCAGCTCCTGTCAGGGCACATGCTGGGGTGCGGCTCATCCCCAGAGGGGGGCGTGCAGGAGGCAGCCGATGGATGATTCTCTCTCATCATTGATGTTTCTCTCTCTCTCCCTCTCCCTTCCTCTCTGAAAGCAATAAATATATTTTTATTGCTTTCATTTTTATTGCTTTCAGAGAGGAAGGGGGAGGGGGAGAGAGAAACATCAATGATGAGAATCATTGATCAGCTGCCTCCTGCACGCTCCCCACTGGGGATGAGCCGCACCCCAGCATGTGCCCTGACCGGAATCGAACCTGGAACCCTGTAGTCCGCAGGCTGATGCTCTATCCCCTGAGCCAAACCGGCGAGGGCTAAAAAATATTTTTAAAATAAAAATTTTGTTGTTAATCCTCACCTGAGGATCCTTTTCCATTGATTTGTAGAGAGAGTGGAAGGGAGGGGGAGAGACTCAATGTGAGAGAGACACATCGATTGGTTGCCTCCCGAAAGTGCCAAGGCCGGGGCCCAGTATCAACCCTCACCCGAGGCGCCTGTCCTTGACCGGAACTGAACCCGGGACCCTGCAGTCCGCAGGCCGACGCTCTATCCACGGAGCCACACCTGCTAGGCTCTAAAATGAATTTTTAACAAAGCATTGGCTAGTCCCAAATGGTTATTTTTTTTAAAAAAACGAAAGACCTGTCTTATACCAGACCCTAAAAAAACCCCCTAGAATATAAATACTCTGTTCTTGAAACACACCAAATATGTTTATATTAATAAATTCACAATAACACTAAAAACAAAGCCTCATTGATTGCCTTTAGAAGATTCTAGGGCAGCGGTTCTCAACTTGTGGGTCGCGACCCCTTTGGGGGTTGAACGACCCTTTCACAGGGGTCGCCTAAGACCATCGGAAAACACATATATAATTACATATTGTTCTTGTGATTAATCACTATGCTTTAATTATGTTCAATCTGTAACAATGAAAATCCATCCTGCATATCAGATATTTACATTACGATTCATAACAGTAGCAAAACTACAGTTATGAAGTAGCAACGAAAATAATTTTATGGTTGGGGGTCACCACAACATGAGGAACTGTATGAAAGGGTCGCGGCATTAGGAAGGTTGAGAACCACTGTTCTAGGGGCAAAGTCATTATTTCGGAAACTGGTAATAAATGAAAGGACAGGACGGAGCACAGGCCCCGCCTCCCCAGTGGACCGCACTCCTGAGAACCGCAGAACTAACGGGGGTCCCGGCGCAGCGGTACGGAAGCAACGTCAGGATTTAGGGTGTCACCGTTCTCCAAACACCACGAAGGGGCACCCCGACATCAGCTCCTCCCAGTGCAGAGCACCTGCACCTGCACCTGCACCTGAGACCCCGGCGCTGCCGCCAGCTGAGCTACGCGGGGCGGAGACGGACAAGTCCAGTGACACCCGGGCCGCCACCAGCGCAACCAAGCACGGAGCTCTCCCGCTAGTTCATGGAAACCAGCGGCACCAGGGCCGCAGGGTCCCGCCAGGGCTCCTCCGCTCGCCTCCGGCAGGTAAACGCG